TTTGGTGTGGGAGCTCATGCCGGCTCTGTCACTTGGAAGCCAAAGTTGGGGTGGCAGCCGAGGGAGAGAGGGGTGCACGGACTGCAGGAGGGAGAGAGGTTGCAGCCCAGGCTGCATGCATGGGGTCCTAGAGAGCTAGAGGACCCTAAGCTCTTCTTGGTTCTTAGGTTCCTGCTGCATAATTTACTGAAGGCTTTTTTGGAAGACCTGAACCAGGTAAATGATGATTTAATTTTCTTTTTCTTTCCTTCTTTCTTGTCTCATTATGTCACTCGATGAGATATGGGGGAATGCAGAGGTGCTGGGACAGACCACAGTCCTCCAGGGAAGTGCTCTGAGGGTGGGGAGCTTGCTAAGCCCAGGACACTAAATACAAAGACCAAATGTAGAGTGACTGTCAAGGTGTTCTTGGTGACAGTGATTTGTAGGAATATCCAAAAGTCACAAATGTATGAAAAGGTTATAGGAATGTGGATTTCCTCCTCTGCCATATACCCTAATAATGTTCCTCAAACCTGAAAAAACCTTGGATTCAGCCAAGCATGGCAAGCACACCTGGATTCTCAGGACTCTGGGAGGCTGAGGCAGGAGGATCACTGCAAGTTCAAGCACAGCGTGGGCCATTTACTGATTTAGTGAGAACTTGTTTCAAAATAAAAAAATAAAAAAAGGGCTGGGGATGAGCTCAGTGGGAAGATCCCAGTATTGCAAAAACAAAAAGTGAAAAGTATATAAATACTGGGTTCAACCCCTGGCCCTGAGACTGCTCTTGTTTCTCCCCGGGTGTGACTAAGTGATTCCAGGTAAGTCACTGATCCCTGCATATCAAATGGCAGTGGTGACATTTACTTCCACCTGTGTCCTGGAGGTGCTGGAGGGTGAGGGGCAGCAGTGGCTCTGACACTGACCCTAGGGGCAGCTGCCATATGCATGCAAGCTGGCCCTCATCACTGTGACCCTTCCCAACACTGCGGCACCATCCTGAGGCTGGCATCACCACCCGCAAACTCACATAAAATCACTTGGGGTATCTGATGAGTTTTTACTGCTTCTTGCATCTGCCATTCACAGAATTACGAATTCTGTGAATTCATAGGAAACCAGACACAATTCCTCCCAGTTCCCTCATGCCAACGTCACACGGGGTGGAGAGGTGGCCTGGAGCTCACACACAGCTGTTCCTGTCTCTCCTGTCCCTTGGGGGGCATGGCCAGTGAGTGTCCCAAGCACAGAGGTGTGTTTGGGGCGATGACGAGTGGACCCCCAAGAAGAGCGGACCCCCATGGAGAGCATGCTTCATTTGGTACCTGAGGACTCGGTCCGAGGCCTGGTTGGACTTAGACACATCACAGCTCTGGTGTTTTTCTTGGGCTTTTGCCAGTTTCTCTGCTGCAGCAATAGGGCATCCAGAGAGGCTGCAATCACAGAAAGGGCTTTAGTGTCTGGTCTTGGATAACTTGTGATGCAGAAACTCAGCCACCACCTCTTTCTCTCTGCCAGTGAGGCAAGGCTTCCTACACCCAAGTAGGGCATCTCCGCAGGTGGAGGGGTGGAGCAGAGAGCATCCCGTTTTTGTTTTGCTTGTTTTTGTCTTAGTTTCCAGTAGAAAGTGCTGAGGGCAACACCATGTATAAAGCATGCTCTATTCTTCCCAGGAAGGACAAGTCACATTGCATGTGTTTAAGAGGACATGAGCCAGCTAAACTTTCAGAGAGAGAAAGAGAGATACCAAATCAGGGAGAGAGAGAGGGAGAGGGAGAGGGAGAGGGAGAGGGAGAGAGAGGGTGTGGGAGGAGAGAGGAGAAGAGGGAGGAGAGAGAGGAGGGAGGAGCTGGGGACAAGAATATACTTTTACAAGTTATGTCCTCAGTGACTCACCTCTTCCTGCCAGGCCCCACATCCTAAATGGCACATTCATCTATGAACTCACCAATGAATTAATCCACTGATGAGTGTAGTGCCTCCATGATCCAAATACCTTCTAAAAACCCCGCCTCTGAAAACATGAGACTTTTGGTGGATATTTTAGATCTAAGCCATAATAATTCCCTTAACGTAGAAATAATTATTTTGTTTTTAATAGTCTTTGAAAATTTTGCTCATCATTTAAGATAGAATTTAAAGTTGAGTCTACATTTCCAACATCATTTTCTGTTTAAGAAAGTATTAGTAAAGGGAGGACATTATGATAAATATTTATTTTAACCTCAAAGTGTATTTTTATGCACACATCTAACTATTTCCCATAACTCTCAGCATGCATGAAATATGAAGATTTTTTACTCTGTCATTAAAGTATAAATGATAACCAATTCTGTAATCATGTTTGTGCTTGCTGTGGAAATAGCTTTATGTCTTCTCATGGTGTTTTACTTTTGCTATCCAACTAGAAACTACAAATATTTTTATAGCCTCAACTATGTCTTTTTTCTGTGCTAAAGGTCAAACCCAGAATCCTCAATTCTTAGTATGCTGAAAGAAGTTCATTTCTTTAGCATGCCAACTATTATCGTCTTGTATACCCAAATATTTGAAAGACAAGTGATTTTGAAAGATTGGGAAAATAAAGTAATTAACAAAATAAGCTAAACTGATACAAGAAGTTCTTCCATCTTTATTTCCTTACCTCTAGAGTGAAGCCTATGAAAACATGACATTTAGGCATTTGCTAACATTAATATGCTCTTAATGTTATTGTTAATATTATAGTCATTGTATTAGGAAGTGCTATTGACATAGAATTTTAATTTTATTATTCCCTCTGTAATTGGAGTCTTTTGTTGCATACATTTGATTAATCTTGTTCTGAATTTTAAGCAAACTGAGGAAAAATATTCCTAAATTCAATTCTACAGTAATTAAGTTAGATATAAAAAGTAAAAATTTATGAGCAGAGCTTATGAAAGACAGATATTTTACCCAGAAATGTTTATACAAATAGGGATTTTGAATATTCATGTAGTTACACTTATTTTTTAATTAATAACTTCATATATTCTTATGGTTTCTCTTAGTTGGTTCAATTTTTATTTTATATAACTGTCTCATCAAAAGAAGGTCAACTATCTACTCACAAATTTACTCTTTCTGATGCTATGACTGGAGCATGTTCTTTCAAACACTGAGTACATTTATTGAGTGCCTACAATTCACTGGTACAATGGTAGGCCCTTGAGGATTTAATGCCGACAGTAATGGATACTACTGTGGCTCTCTTAGGGTTTACGGAGTATGTAGTACAGAGTAATCCCTAAGAGCTTCAGTTTTGAAGTGAGATAGCATTGTTTGAATTCTAGCTCTGATGTTTAGTATCTGAGTAACTGCATAAGTTACTTAACTACTCTGAGTCTCATTTTAGAAATGAGAATGATGAAAGGAACACTCATCTCATAAGTGTAAGGATTAAACAAGATAGCACACATACAACTTTAGCATACTGCTTGTCCCAGAGTAAGTGAAGTCCTGTATAAATGTCTGCAGGAAGCAGGTAATTACAATACCAGATACCTTCCCCACTAGAGGAGCAGAAGGAAGGGGAGCAGAAGAACAGAGTGCTGTGGGAGCAAATTTCCTGCTGAATTAATATCATCTTAGGGTAAAAACCCAATGCCCTGAGAATACTTGGAGTATTTGAGTTTTAAAATTCTGTAACAAACTAGGCATTGCATCTTGCTTCCTTTTGGATAGTGATTTTTTAACTTGCCTTCTAGGTGATTTGCATGGGAAACTGGATGATCTTTTCTTGATCTTCTATAAGGTAAATGATTGTTTTGCTAAATATTTCCATTTTTGAAGGCAGTTCTAAGGCAAATAGCAGTACTAGTTTTGTTAGAGACATGTACAAATGCACATGTAATAATAACAGCTTTTATGCAAGAAACTGAAAGGTTTATAGGAGAATATTGATGTTTTTACAAACATCTCATAAATTTGTTTAAAAATTTAATTAGGGTCTTTGTTCAGTTTTACTGTTCTCTGTATATCCGTTAGGATTTGTACTTGATTATATTTATTGTCTTTGTTTTAAAAATTTATTTATTTGTACACGTTTTCAATATGTGATTATTGTCTTTATTGTCATACCTATCTAGGTGGTGTAGGATGAAAAAGGAAGCCTCTGTTTTATTTTGCTCAGAATAGAACATGTCACACACCAGTCTTCTCTTTCAGTGCGCACTAATTTGTATGAAAGGAGTGTCCTACAGAGAGTTCCAAATTGCTCTTTCCTCTTCCTGGATTCACCAGCACCGGGCTCCACTGCTCTTTCAGCGCTATCCTTCTCTTCATTTCTTGCATTTTGCTTGTGAAAACCAGCATGGAGGGCCCAAAGCAGCTTCTCTGACATGGAGTTTCTCTGCATCTCTTTGCTTGGATTTCTTTTCTCTCTGAGCCCAGAGTTGAAATCTGAATGTTTGCTTCTGGGATGCCCAACTCTTATAGAAAACAGGAGGTCCCCACCTTTACAGTGTCATACTTTAACACTGGTCTTCTGAATGCCTCTTTTTAGTTAATGTGTTTATTGCCCACCCATACATGTCATTCTCACATCTAACGTGCCAAATAATTGGGCATAACATAGGTATCTCAAACCAATTGAGAAAAAATATATTCTGACTTCTACGACCTACCAGTTCTACTCTTTGAAACTATGAGAGCTTGAGCCACATAACCTCCATGAATCTCAATTTGTCTTTCAACTATAATACTATCTTGAGCTTCTACCTCATAAGAAATTGTCTTGTAGATAACAGCACAAATATCTAAAAACAATTTGAAGCCATACATTACAATAGAAATACAAGGTTTTTTATTTCATTCATCCAGAAGGAAGTTTTGGAAGAGAATTGGGTAGGTCAAACCAGGAGTAGGTGAATGAACCTGGTTTAGGAAGAGATTTAGTTAGGACTGCAAGGACAGAAAGCACAAGAGCCAGGGAGTGAGGTCAGAGGAAGTAGGAGGCTATTCAGGTAATCAGTCGGTATAGGAATTTCAGGAAAAGATTGGCTGGTAGGGAACAATTCTGGACATTAGAATAGAACTCAAGCTGCTTAGGGAAGGAAGAGAGGCCAGAATGGGGCTACTCAACTGGTAGAAAGGGGAGGACTGCAGGATTGGAATGTTTCCTAGGGTCATAGAGCCAGCTAACTGTGGAGCGCCTTAAGAAGCAGCCAGGGTAGTTGTAGGGGAAGTACTCCCTGGTGAAGAGAAAGTCTGAGGCAGAGTCTAGAAAGTGAGTGGCTGAAGTGAGTGTGGAGGAGAATATTGTGGATAAGGAGCGCAAGACCTGGAAGGCAGGTGTGTTAAATGGGTTGGACACGTGGAACAAGAGATGCGGAGCTGGGAAGGAAGTCTAGTCAGAAGACCTAGGCCTGAAAGGAGGGTGTCAAATTGTTGGTCTGTTGGTGGCTCTGAGGAGCAAGTGGGTCTTCCCCTACTCCAGGTGTTTGTGCTGATGAGAAATGGGTCCTTTCTTTCAAGAGAGCTGCAGAAGTTAGTTCAGCAACCAGATTAAGGGAGGCCCAGGTTTATAGAGAGAATTCCTTCAGAATGAGTTGAAGGGGAAGGGAGTTTATTTACTATAACATGGGGATTTACTGGCTAAATTGGAAAGCTGTGGGAGAGGTAGAAGGATGGACAGGTGAGAAGAACCCAGGAGTTGTGCAATTTGTTCACTTCAGCACATAGTTTCATACTATATGTTCATAAGTTCAGCCCTGCTATTTTGATTTCTTTTTTTCTTTTTTTTGGTTTTTCTCCGGTACCGGGAATCGAACTCACAACGTTGTGCTTGCCAGGCAGGCGCTGTGCCGCTGAGCTAAATCCCCAGCCCCAGCCCTGCTATTTTGACAATTACAATCCAAGGAAGGAGGAAAGGGATTGGGGAAGAGATGTGGAGAACAATAACAAAATATCTGGTAATTTTTTTTCTAGAGCCTTTGAGGAATACATAAAAAGGAAAATAGTTAAATAAGTTAAGTTAGGAATTTAGTCCCTAAATTCCAATGCACTTAGAAAAGAAAATTTCCTGAGAGGTAGTTGAAGATATTAAGGTGTGATCAGGGATAGAGCCCTAGAGCAGACAGATGAGAAAATAGAGTAATGTTTTCTGACATATTTCTTTGACTGCATCACCAAAACCTTATGGAGCATGTAAAACTGGAAGGTGCTAATATAAAGATTGAACAGCAGGAGGTGGGTGGTAAGAAGTACTATAAAAGGAACTAAAGGTGAAAATATAGCATTCAAATGGAAAGAAGAAATATTTTGAGAACTAACCAATGGCAGTGTTCAGGAAGTAGGGATTGTGAGCCCAGGAATGAGAGAATGAGGTACTACTCTATTATTTTTAGGATAGGCAGGGGAAGCGGGAGGTGAGAGGGATGTTTGGAAAATAGAAGTTTGCAAGAGCCATGAATTAGAATTCTGGAAGACTCAAGTGAGAAGAAGGTAAAATACACCTTGGACTTGGACTGGACCACACACATCAACGGCATAATTTAATAGGGGGAATTGAAGGAAGAGCCACCGATGATAGAAGGATTTCACCTTAAGAAACTGAAAAGAGATCTAATGTACTCATGTACTGTGTATAAGATTCTTGCTAAATGAATTGAATTTAGTTTCCTTTGCCACAAAAATGGGTAACTGTGAGACGATTTGTTAATTTGTTAATTTGTTTCCTGATAATTACCCTTTTACTATTTATATGTATCTCATAACAAGATGATATACATATATATAATGCATTCAATAACATTTATTTTTAAAGAGGAAGAAAATAACCACTATAATGAAACAATGTGGGGGATCACACTGTTAGTATTTTCAACACTGAGAAAGCAAGAAACAGTGAAATGATATTACTTTAAAGGGATGTGTGATAACTGAATAAAGATAGTACTTCCTCTTATTAGAAAAAAACAGTGAAAAGGTGGTGTAGTTAATGGTGTCTCTCTGAGAAAGGAGAATTGCAGTGTGAGTGTGTGGTAATAGTGCTGAATCATTTAGCTTATGGCAGATGAGTGTCCTAAGATAAAGGCGATGAGATGAAAAGCAGCACACAGAGATACAGCTTTGGAAACTCCAGTCCTATGATGATCTCGAACTTCCAAAAGTCAACATTCTTCCCTTTTCTGTTTCATTATTTGTGGCAGTTTAAATGCAGAATGATAATAACTGCACCAGGTTGGTGCTGCCTAAATATCAACTGGTCTGGAAATCATGTTTCTCTATTGGTACAAATGATAGTACTACCTAAATACTCAGATGTCAAACTTCTGTGTGATTCCTTATCTTCACTTACCACTTTTATGATCACAAACCCAGGATTAAGTAAAATAGGATCTCTGAGCTCTTAAAATGGTTGCCATGAATCTAATGGACTTTATTCCTAAGGCAGATCCTGGCCTTTCTGGATATATATCAGGAAGAACTTTTCTTACACAAGGTTCACACAAGTTTACCTGTCTGGCTACTTGGCTCACAGCAGATTAGAGAGTAGAAAAGGAAGAGGCAAAAGTTAGGTATAATGACAGCAATAAAAAGCAAAAGCTTTGCCTGGCAGTAAGAGGAATGTGGAACTATAAAACTGAGATAGAAATGAAGTAGTAATATTCAGTGAACTGGGGCTGTGTAGTATAGGGAAAAGAGTTCTAGGCTGCCCAGAAGTGCTTGAGGGGATGCTTAGATTGATGAGCCTGCATGATCAAGAATGTTTTCAGTTGCATGGTGTATACTCTGTGAAGAAGTAAAGGGAACAAATGGCATATTTTAAAAACTCCCAACCTAAATGGTTAAGACAGTTAAAAATATACTCTAGCTTTTAAAAGAGTATGTGTTGGTTATTTCAAAAATTCATTTCAGCAATGCTTGCGGTAGGAGTGATTATCGTTACTGGGCCTTAGGTATAGGAGGATGAGCAAACATGCAAGAGAAAAATTAATTGAGAGAAGAGTAATGAGATAAGAAAGTAGTTGAAGAGGAAAGGATGAAGAACATCTTAAGTGATTAGATGAGGGGGAAGAGTGTGGAGTGGCATCAGAATCAAAGGGAGTACAGTAGAGAGTAACTCAGGGAGTACAGTAGATACGTAACTATGAGCTACTCAGTCACTTCAGGAAATGGTAGAATTTCTCTGATGGTTTCTGATTCTCATTGTGATACTTTGTTCTCAATCAGTGTATCAAAAACGTACTGAATCCCAGTCACATGTAATGCTTGACTGGTTCACTGACAAGAGCCATGAGATTGAGTCACACCAGTGTAAGCTACAAGCTCTGAAGCTTCTGTTTAGAACTAGATACTGGTCAGACTTTAGCTTATATTTATTTTATTATTATTTTCTAAGGGAAAAAGAACTCGAATTGTGGGAACTATTTTGGCAAACTATATTATTCTATGATTTAGCTGATTCTTCTCCATCAGTGTAAAAGAAAAACCAGGAAAACCTCAGGCTTTGAATTAAGGCAAGATTCTTATCTTTCAATTGGTGTTTTCCTAGACACTTTCTTCTTCATTGTTTCTTTTTTATACTATAGCATTAGTGGGATTTTAAGGCTGGGGCTTATGCTAGACCAACCAAGGGCATAGCCTGATAGGAAGTTATAATGTGTCCTAAGATAAAGGCCAGTGATTGTTTTTAAAGGATTATATGAGATTTTGGTTTTTCTTATATCTGGTTATCCTTAAAAGTGGTATCACTTAGCACCTTAGTACTAATGAGACATTTTTAGCTCACACAATCCCATCTGGGTTGGA